TTCCTTTACCTCCAAATCAGTTCCCTTACGTATATATATATTTTAAAAATCCAAGTCTTACTTTCAAAGCACACACTTAGTCTCAACTAGGGAATCAACAGAAGCAGAAGCGATTTTTTTCCCCCTTCTTGACATCTGGCTTGCGATTGGCTGGAAGGGGGTCAGCTGACTTTGTCATTTTGTCTGTCCTGGATTGGAGCCGTCCCTATAACCATCTAGTTCCGAGTACAAACTGGAGACAGAAATAAATATTAAAGAAATCATAGCCCGACCAGGTAAAGGCAAAGGGATGAATTCCTACTTCACTAACCCTTCCTTATCCTGCCACCTCGCCGGGGGCCAGGACGTCCTCCCCAACGTCGCCCTCAATTCCACCGCTTATGATCCAGTGAGGCATTTCTCGACCTATGGAGCGGCTGTTGCCCAGAACCGGATCTACTCGACTCCCTTTTATTCGCCACAGGAGAATGTCGTGTTCAGTTCCAGCCGTGGGCCGTATGACTATGGATCTAATTCCTTTTACCAGGAGAAAGACATGCTCTCAAACTGCAGACAAAATACCTTAGGACATAACACACAGACCTCAATCGCTCAGGATTTTAGTTCTGAGCAGGGCAGGACTGCGCCCCAGGACCAGAAAGCCAGTATCCAGATTTACCCCTGGATGCAGCGAATGAATTCGCACAGTGGTGAGTTTTACAGCTCCGAGATATAAATTAAATAAACTGAACTGGCTTTATGACCGGCTTCCCTAGAAGAACGGGCGGAGAGAGTTTTTTATGGCCCCATAAAAACAATCACGCTCGTCTCCTCGCCGACGCCGAGACAGGGCCCCCTCTTCTGCCCCCTCTGCTCGCCTCCCGCTTGCTTGTAGGGGCCTGGCCCCCTCGGCCCCTGACGGATGGGAGGGCTCCAAGGCGAGATGAGGGGGGCAGAAACAGGGCAGGGGTTGAGGGGAGGAGGCAGGGGGATGGGGGAACCCCCAAAGTCGAGTCAGTCTGAGGAGAAGGGAGGGGAAGAGAAGGGAGCAGAAAAGTGGGGGAGAAGTTTCCAAGGACCTAGGGTGCTCCGGGAGGTAGGAGAGTCCAGTCGTTGAGAAACGGGGCCCTTATCCCCAGTGTTTGGGATTTTTCAGTGTTTAGATTTACAGCCTTCTGCCTGGTTCTTGCCCCCTGCCCCACCACCACTACCATTCTTTGGAACACACACCTACCAGCCTATGAGGAAAACTGAATGAAGTTGGAATCCTGGCTGTACCCCTAGTGGGGGTGGGGCAGGGCAAATGGGAGAAGGCTGGAGCCTGAGGGGGCCCTGAGCTGCTGGTCAAGTTGGGAGGGTCAGGACTTTGCTAGGCTAAATCGTCTGCAGAGGAAGCCCTGCTGATTGTTTTTAGTGTGTTTTGTGCCCGGATCTCTAGGGGTCGGCTATGGAGCGGACCGGAGGCGCGGTCGCCAGATCTACTCGCGGTACCAGACCCTGGAACTGGAGAAAGAATTTCATTTCAACCGCTACCTAACGCGGCGCCGGCGCATCGAGATCGCCAACGCGCTCTGCCTGACCGAGCGACAGATCAAAATCTGGTTCCAGAACCGCCGGATGAAGTGGAAAAAGGAATCTAACCTTACGTCCACGCTCTCAGGGGGCGGCGGAGGGGCCGCCGCCGACAGCCTGGGCGGAAAAGAGGAAAAGCGGGAAGAGACAGAAGAGGAGAAGCAGAAAGAGTGACCTGGACTATCCCTGCCACCCCTCTCTCTCCTTTTCCTTCGCTCCCCCAACTCCCTCCTAATCACACACTCTGTATTTACCACTGGCACAATTGGTGTGTTTTGACTCCCTAAGACAAAATTAAGGAGTCAGATATGGACCTGAAAGTAAACTCTGGACCCCCTCCCTCACCGCACAAACTCTCTCACTACCCGCCTCCTCCTCCTCCTCCTTGCTCCCTCGCTAGCTCTTTCTCGGCTTGTCTGCAGGCCCCTTCCCCCGCCCAGGCCTTGGGGACTCTGTCCCTGAACCTCCCTTCAGACTCCACTGTTCTCCCTCCAAATGAGGACTTGGCCTCCCACCCCTTAGGTGCCCCCCACCCCCCCGCCCCTGCGCCAGAGAGCCGGCTCCCAGGCCCGGGGCCTCCACTCGGGGCCTTAGGGCCCGGCCTGGCGGCCAGGGAGGGCGGGAGGCCCAAGGAGGGCGCGTCTTGGCCCCACAGCAACCCCAGGGCCTCCCCGAAGCCCCTGCCCGGCCCCTCTGCCCGGCCTCTCTGCCCCAGCAAATGCCCAGCCTAGGCGAATTGTATTTAAAGAATCCTGGGGGTCATTATGGCATATTACAAACTGTGACCGTTTCTGTGTGAATATTTTTAGCTGTATTTGTGGTCTCTGTATTTATATTTATGTTTAGCGCCGTCCGTGTTCCAATCCCATCTTAAAAAGGAAAAAAAAAAAAAGAGAGAGAGGGAAAATTACAAAAAGAGAAAAAAAGTGAATGACGTTTGTTTAGCCAGTAGGAGAAAAATAAATAAATTTTAAAAAAATCCCCTCGTGTTACCCTCCTGTATAAATCCGACCTCTGGATCCGTTCTCGAATATTTAATAAAACTGATATTATTTTTAAAAGTTTATATCGGGATTTCTGTTAATTCGCTCGTCTGCCTGCCTCGAGGTGAAAGTTGGAGCAGGCTCCCAGAGCTCCGCGTCTGCCCGCCGCCTGCAAGCCCCCAGCCCCTTTACTCGCCTTTCCCCGAGCCGGGCGCCAGCCTTGGCTTCCCCCTTTTGGTGATCGGGATGGGGGGGCTGGGAGGCCTTTCTGGGCTCCCTACACAGAGCAATACACTCACCCCGCAAAAAAAGCCGCTTGGGATTTCGATGGGGGTGTGTGTGGGAGGGGGGACCGGGCTTAGTCGGATTGGTCTCCAGACCCACACAGGCCTTTCTTCTTGCCTGTGATAGTCTGGGGTCCGTCTTCTGAGCCCTGAGCCCCCCAAAGCCAGAAAAGCAGCATTATCCAGGGCACCAGGGCACCACCACCCACTCTCCGAGTGAGGAGGGGGCGCCCTGTGAGCAGACCCTGCCTGCGCCAGGCCGACAGTTGCGAAACGTGGCGGAGGCGGCAAGCAGAGGGGAAAAAGAAGACAGCGGGATTCGAGCCCTTCGCCGGGATTGAGCGATTCAAGGACATCTCAAAAAAGAAAGCCTGGAAATTGAGCTCTCGGCTGCTCTGGGACTCCTAACGTGGCTGGGACAAAATTTCTTCTTCCTTACAGCCCCAGCCCCAGTCTGGTCCTTCACTCTTTCTTCTCCCCTCAAACTCGGCGGGTGAGGAGCGCAGCCAGGCCGTAACCTTTCCCCAGCTCAGGCCTTCTCTCCCAAAGCCCAGACAGAAACCTGAGTGGACCTAGAGGGTGAGGTAGTGAGGGGGTCTCCCAGAGAGAAAAAAAATCCGTCAGAGTTTTCCAGACCTTCCAGATCCCCACCAGCGCCCCCTCCAGCGCCTCCGCCTTGCGGGGGGGCGGGAGGGGGGCTTCTCCTGGCAGGGGCGGAGATTTCCTGGGGAGAGGCAGGCTGGAGAGAATAAAACTTGGGGCTTGGGGAGGGGGGTCGAAAAGGGGCCGAATAGCTATATAACCCCTGACCACGGGCTGTGAAGGTTGCCCAGGCGCCTGCTTTGCCCACCCCCTTCCCCCCACCCCCAGTCAGATTCTTTCTCCCTCGCTTCCATATAGCTCAGAAATTGCTCTCCTGTGGACCTTGTGGATCCAGGTCCCTGGAGAGCCTGGTCCAGAGCCCCCCCCCCCCGCCCGCCCCACCATAGGGCACAAAAAGGCCTTGTCCTCTGCCCTGCTCATATATTTGCGGAAGCTTGAATCTTGCTTTTTCATTCCCTCAATTAATATCTATTTTCTATCCAAAATATCTGGCATTGGTATCACATGAGGGTCATACACAGAGATGTAGAGCAGTCTTCCAGGCCATTGTGTCTGGTTCTACACACACACACACACACACACACTGAAAATTGCCTTGTTGCCACTCTGGGGTCTCTGGCATAGTGAGGAGGTCTACTCAGCTACCCTGGCTCCTCACCCCCAGGCTCATCTCAGAGTCCCCATAACTTTCAGCCTCATGACCCCCTGCCCCATCTAGTTCTGCCCATCCAGTATCCTTTTTCCTGGGCATACTATTTACCTCTCCAGAGGCTTGGTTCACTTTTCCAAGCTGACAGGCACCTTCTCAGAAATAGCAGCACCTTGGGATACCCAAGGAAAGGGACCTCCAAGGAAAGGACCTCCAACCTGAGATAAGTCCTCCCGGAAGTCTAGCCTAGGCACCCCCTACACACACACACACACACACACACACACACACACACACACACCTAAGTCCCCTTCCCTCAGTCATTTTTGAAGATTGGAAGGCCCTGGGGGTGAAGTGGACAGGTCTATCAATTACACACACACAAAAACAACCTTCGGTGCTCCTAAACAAAGCATCATCTTTCCTTAAAATTAAATACAATTTAAAGGGCCATTTCAGGGGTTTGTTGCAGCAACAACCAGCTTTTCTACAGGGTAGAAAATCCAGCGGTCTGGAAGGCTTGCCGGCGCTCCAGACTGCAATTTCTTCAATTAGGCACCAGGTGTCGCTGTGGGCTCGTTGTCCCAGCTACCCCCAATTCCAAGAACCATTTTTTTTCCTCCCCCTTCTCTCTCTTTCTCTCATTCCCTCTCCCCCTTGGTTAGGCTTTGCCAACATATCAAGATGCGTTTCGCCGGCTTCCATCACTAACCTCCCGGAGGTCATCAAGCCAAATTTATGAGTGGCCGCTGGAGTCACGTGACTCTATTTAAGGCTCCCTTATTTGGGAAGAGCGCATAGGATAAAGAAAGAGATATCTCCACCTATAAATTGTGCACTTTGGAGAACAAAAAACCCCTCAACTTCAAAGAGTCACAAATCACCCTTAATCAAAAAGGGTGCAGAAATTTTTTTTGGGCCCTCCCCGCCATGAGCTCCTACGTAGCCAATTCATTCTATAAGCAGAGCCCCAATATCCCTGCCTATAACATGCAAACTTGTGGGAACTATGGATCGGCCTCAGAGGTGCAGGCATCCAGGTACTGCTACGGCGGATTGGACTTAAGCATCACTTTCCCACCGCCTGCGCCTTCCAACTCTCTCCACGGGGTAGACATGGCTGCCAACCCCCGGGCTCACCCCGACCGCCCCGCCTGCAGCGCCGCGGCCGCTCCGGGACACGCTCTGGGCAGAGACGAAGCGGCTCCTCTGAACCCCGGGATGTACAGTCAGAAGGCGGCTTGCCCAGCGCTGGAGGAGCGAGCTAAGAGCAGTGGGGAGATCAAAGAGGAGCAGGCGCAGACAGGGCAGCCTGCCGGACTGAGCCAGCCACCGGCCCCGCCACAGATTTACCCGTGGATGACCAAACTGCACATGAGCCACGGTAAACTTTAGGACTTCATTTTGCGCGCTCGGGTCCGCCTGGGTTTTATAGGCCATGCGGGGCAAATAAAGAAAAAAAACCTGCGGCCATAAATTTTACGATCCAGGCATCAATGGCTCGTAAAACTGTCCACTAAAAGGCTTAGAGGCTGTGTGCGCCCAAATTTACGACGACATAATTGGATCATAGGAACAAAACGTGTATAAAAGGCAATATTCAATTTTTGGGGGAGAGGGAGGGAGTTAAAAAAATAGAGGGATCTGAAGGGTGAGGAGCGCGGGGCTCCAGAGCGGGGATCCCCCCGCGGTTCCCTCCCTCCCCTGTGGAGCCGGTTCGGCCTGCGCTCGTCGCCCCGGAGGATTCCAGCGACTTGGGAGGGGTGGGAGGGGGGTCCCCGGTGCTCGGATCTCGAGGGTGCTTATTGTTCGGTCCGAGCCTGGGTCTCCCTCTCTCCCCCACCCCTCAGCCCCTCTGGCTGCTGAGTGAAGGCTGCGGCTGAAAGTTTCCTGCCTGGGCGGAGGCGCCTCTCCCGGGGCTGGGCTGGGCCGGGCCCGCCTGCGGCCCTCCCGGCCTGTCTCGCTTTGCTCGCTTCTTGTCCCTCCGGCCGCGGGTCGGGGCCTGGGGCTCGGGTGGGGACGCTGAGGCGCTGCACGCTATTCACCCCTTCCTGGCTTGGGGGGGGCTTATATTCCAGAGACGGACGGCAAGCGGTCCCGAACCAGTTACACGCGCTACCAGACTCTGGAACTGGAAAAAGAATTCCACTTTAACCGCTACCTCACTCGCCGCAGGCGCATAGAGATCGCCAACAACTTGTGTCTCAACGAGAGACAGATCAAGATCTGGTTCCAGAACCGCAGGATGAAGTGGAAGAAAGATTCCAAAATGAAAAGCAAAGAGGCTCTTTAGAGGCAGCGGGGAGGCCCGCCAAAAGCACCCCGAGCTCGTTTCATTCCCCTCGCCTTTCCTTTTCGGGTTTCCTCTTTATATATTGGGGCAAGGGCTGGAGCACCCGCTCCTGGGCCTCAAAGACAAAATCGCTTTCCCTTGGCATTCCGCATCCCCACCGACCCCAGGTTCCCACGGGGCTGCCTGCGCGGTCCTCACTCCCTTCAGCTCGGCTCAGCTCGGACCCCAGGGCAAGCTGGTGCTGACTGGGCTGGCGATGACCGTACCGGCCTGGGCTGCCTCTCAGGCTTTCAGCCCCAGCTTGACAAGCCCGAGTTAAGGTGGGCCCTGCGGTTGCCGCAGGCGGGGTGCCCCGACCCTCCAGCCTCGCCCTCTCCTTTGTTCCCGGTTTAGGTTGGCCAGGCGGCTGCCGGCTGGCAAGAGAGTGGTTGTGCCTGGCGGACTCTGGCGCCAGACTCGGGGTGCTTCGTTGTAGCGACTAAACTCAAGTTGTTCATTTTTAAATGATTTGCATAATAAAAGGGGGGAGATGACTGAAGTCCGCCTAGGGCCCCTTTGGTTGTCCTACGTTCTCGAAACCTTTCTCCCAACTCCAAAGCCGGAACCTCTCCAGCCTATGCCCTCTGCATGCCTTCTCAGGTCCCCAGCCTCAGGCCCCCAGTCTCAGACCACTAGTTAGTTCAACTTTTGAGGTTCCCTGCCACAGGACCCCAGCAAGCAGTCCTAGAGGCTCCTGGCTGCCAGTAGTCCCTGCCACGACTTTCTGTGTCCTCCTGCACCATCGCTGTTGTACAACTATTTATTGACTCCAAGTCTTTCCTGAAACTATATTTTGTCATATCAAATAAAGACAAAGAGAGAACAGGACTAAAAATGCAGTGGCTCCTCTCTGTTTGGGGCATGTATTGGGCAAAAGTGTCTAAATGGGCTGTGAAGTGTAGGAGGAGGCCCAAAGCCTTTAAGCCCCCTCTCCTTTAAAGGAATGTTTAGGAGCTTCTTGGGGTATTGAGACAAAGGAGGTGAAACTGAGCTCCTGTTCTGATCCCTGGCTCCAAGAAGGGCCTCTGGGGGAAGGGGAAGACACCCAAGTGCCTGTCTCATGCAGTGGCTATCCAAGGCATTCAGGCCTCTGCACCTCATTCCCACTTTGGCTGGGTGGATCTGGGGCTCTAGACAGGCAGTGGCCCTCAATGCATGTCAGAACAAATCTGCAGGGACTGGTGGCCCTGCAGTACTCAGATTCAAGCTCTTCTGGGCCTTTGAAGATCTCTCCCGGGGCTAAGAGGTCTCTGAGGGGCCTCGGTGGACAAAGAGAGAGGGCTGTGCCCTCAGTCTAGGGTCCCATTTGATCTCAGAAGGATCCTCAGAAAAAGTCGGTGCTGCTTGGTAAAGGGTTGCTGGGGAAGTTGGAGGAGGTGTGTCTCAGCTTTCTTAGATACTGGGGGAGGGTGAGCAGGGAAGGCAATCTGCAGGGTGTACCTGCCTGGCAGGAATGTTCAGACTCCCCACCTTCTAGGGCCTAGAGCTATGCAGGACAATTAACTGGGAAAGGAGCTGCATAGACCAGTGCCTGAATTGCATCTGTTTGCCATCATTTATCTCAGCCTCTGGGATTTTTGTGTAGGGGGAGGGTGGGTGAAAAGGAAGAGGAAAAGGCAGATTATTCAGGTGGTGCCTGAGGCTGGTTTAGGCCCATGCTCTGCTCTGATTCAAGCTCTTAGGATGGGATGGTGGAGGAAGTAAGAGAAACAAATGTGGAAAGGGTCCATAAAACTTTACTACATTTCCTCTCCTGCCTCCCACAATGGGGTGATTTCCTGGAGCCAAGCCTAGGCCCCCCACACTGGGGTGGGGAGAGAGGTTCAGGAGCTGGGCTAGAAGGCTTCTCCAGCAGCCAAGAGGAAAAGGGAGCAGAGAGGCTCTGGGGAGGGGGAAGGGGAATATTTATGATTATTAATGCTGACGCTCCTTGGATTTATTATAAAAACTGACTTTTCTGCATCTTATTGCCTAAGCTACCTGTCATTTTTTAAAAGACCCAAGAGCCTTTCCTCACCCCATGCTAGCACTTAGGAGGTCTCACCAAATGTTTGGTGAACTGCACCCACAGCTATACCCTTCTTCACACTGCACTCACTCAGACCAGATTAGGGCTCCTGAAATGTCTCTTCTTCACTAGCACACAGCAGACAGCCCAGCACCAACTCACCTCCTCTCTCTATCTGTCTCTCAAATAAAATGTGTAATTTTCGTCAGGGAGTTATTTTAATTTTTTCTCCATGCTGAGTGAAACTATTGGGGGAGCAGTGAAGCATGGAGAAGCACTGGCATCTCCAATGGGTAAGAGTTAACTAAGAAAGAGGCCCTGGTGCCTGCCATCACCTGCCCCGGCTGCCCTGGTGCTGAAGCCTGGGCTGCCTCCCCAGGGGATGCACCACCCCAGGGGGAGAACTAGGGGTGGGAGCAATGTTGCTTAGACCCACTGGGCAGGGCACCGCAACCCCACCATGTACTGACTGCCTCCTTCCCAGTGGATTTGGAACTGTATCCGCTGGAAGAGCTGGAGGACTGACTTAAGTTGGGCAGGCTTGGGTAGATGCACCCATGCCTGCCCATTTTGCCCTCTCCTGTCACAGTCTGTAGGTCTGCGCCCAGGCCCCAGCCTCTGCTTCAGCAGCATCAGCTGCCACATCCCTGCACTGGGAGTGGGTACAGCCCAGACCCTTGCTTTCTCCCTGAACAGAGGCTTCTACTTTGGAGTCTGAGGAGTTTCCAGCCTCCTGGAATAATCTCCACGCACCAGGGTTTAGCATTACTCTGGGGAGTTAGTGGAGGGACTTCTGGGTCCCAAACAGAGACCATGAAGCCTGCCTCTTCACTTTGCCCTGAAACCCACCCCCTTTGTCAGCGAGAAAGAAGGGGAAGAAGCAAGACTTACCTTCCCGGGGGAGTAGGGAGAGGGGGACACGGCCCACTCAGCAATTAGAGGAGAGAGGAGGAAAAAAATAGGAGGAAAAAATATCAACACGACCTCGAAGGCGACAGGTCCTTATGGAAATAAGTAAGTAAATAAATAAGGATCCACCCTCTCCCCCCCTCCCCACCCTGCAAGGAGGTGTGGGGGTGGGGCAAAGGAGCAGCACGAGGGCTTTTTAGTGTAACTGAGCATTAGAGAAATACGCTAGGCTTCTATGTGAATTTAGGAGTTTGAAACTTTTGGAGGTTATTTATGTGAATGGCCCGAAGGCAAGCCCGTGAGTGGCTCTTGGGGGACCACGTGATGTCATTAAACCAAGTTTTATGGTGTAGGGAGAGCTGACAAACCCACAATATATTTACATCATATATAATCTTAACTGTCCAGCCACGCAGCTGCTGGTGAGGTTTAATGCTAGGACAGAGGGCCTGGCAGTTAGAGGGGATTACGGCGCTGGGGATGATGGTGAGAGAGGTTACATCTTCGCAAATGAATCCCAGGCGAACGCTGTAAGTTAATTTTTTCTCTCGCTGACCCTTTCTTCTGTTTACCTAATCTTCCCCCTTCCTGAGAGAAGGCAGTTTCCACTCATTAAGGGGAGGGGAAGAAGGACTCTCCAGGCACCGTTAGGCTGGGGTAGGAGAAGAGAAGTCGCTGGGAGATAGGAGGATGGGGGAGCTTGTCTTCTAGACCAGCCCTCTCCTCCCTGCCGCTTATTCCCTCCAGCTGTGAGTCAACTGGGATAAAGAGAGGCCTGGGTTCTTTAGAGCTTTGCCAGGTCTCCCTGACCCCTTCTCCCTCTACAGTTGGGAAGAAAAGACAGTCGCAGACATATGGGTGTTTGGCATTTGTAAGAATGTGTAAACTCTAGGTACAAATAAAAAATGCTTCTGGGGCCCCCTGGTCCTGGGAAAGGCCAGTTCTGCCCTTGGCCAGTGACCCAGAGATCAGGCAGGGTGGGCAGCTGAGGAAGGAGGCAGGGGAAGGAGGACTTTGGGACCTCTGAACCCACAGGCTTCTAACTGAAATGGCAGAATCATCTTAAAGATGGCCAATTGAACCCTAGGGATCCCAAAGCATCCTCTCCTTCTTCACCACCAGGCCTGGGTGGGCAGCCTCAGTGGTCTGGGGTTCTAGTCTATCTTGGGTCATGTGGTTTCATGCCTCCTCCTCCCTCTAGTTGGGGTCTTTTCTGGCATCCCTAGCCCTTGCCTAAGGTAAAACTAGGCCTGGGAGGCCTAGCGGTTACTGCTGTGAGTCCAGTGTTAAGTGGGTGCGGGAATGGAGGCAACTGTCTTTATTAGGCTGGCCAAGAAAGCCCTCTGACCCTGAGGAGGGAGTGGGTTCTGGGGGATGGAGCCATATCGGGCCCAATGTGGGCATGGCACCCTGGGGCCAATCTCAGGCTGTGGCTCCCTTCAGGTTTCTAGAAAGGAGCAGCAGAGGCACGTGTCCGCTACACCTGTGAGTGTGTAACCCTCCCCTTGCGCCTTGCGTCACCGTCACCGGGAGCTAAGCCAGGAAAGCGACAACATATGAACTCAGGCTCCTTGAAGGGGCCCACCGGAATCATGAAGGATTCCAAAGCAGCGTGGAAGGCGGGTTCCATGGAGGGCAACTCCAGAAAGAGGAGAGGAGCGCAGGGAGAGAGCCAGGTCTGCGCCTACCCAGAGTAGTGGGGGACTGCCTTGGAGCAGGAAGAGTTCTAGGCACCCGCTTTGTGGAGAGGTGCATTTGGGGAGCAGAGAGGATGCTGTTAGCGTGCCCCTGCCACCCAACAGACTGATGAAGAAACAGGGGATCAGACAGACTCTGGGAGGATGAAGGGGGACAGAGACCCGAAGACACCCCGTCTGAGCTGCAGCCCCAGCCCTGGGACCTAGCAGTCTGCCATCTGCCTGAGGACTGAGAGCGCCCTGGGACTGGAGAATTCTGATGCCTTCCCTCAGAACCTCAGTTCCTTCCTACTCCTTTATTTCCCAGGGTGAAGGGTGGGGGAGCATTAGGATCCCAGAGGATTCTT